AAAATTAGTAACTTAATAAAGAATTGAGGTTTTGTTACATTTATTTTTATATTTTCTTACCTTAACCAAATTTGAATCTGTCGGGAGTTCTCCAGGATGGTTTACAACAATATTATAACATTACGAAGTCATTTTTGTGATTTTTTTCAATTGGCAACAGGAAATAGTCACATGAAACTAAATCTGGTCATCATGGTGGCGTTTGATGAAGATGCATCCCTGATTTACTTGTGTAGTCTAAAAAAAAGTGTAATAAACTCGTTCTCTAGATGAGTAGAGGTAATTAATACAGTTGAAACATACCTTTAATAACAATATCTTGGTTTATTGAATTTATTTAGTCACTAATTGGGGTATTAACAACAAAATTTGTGAATATTAACGAACATTCCATAACATTATTTTACTGAGCTGTTTGTTTTGCTCTCTTTTATGTTTTTTTTTTTCTCATTTTGTTCTTGTTGTCCAACTTTTAATATCGGGTGATTTTTGTTAACACATTTTTTGTGTTTTCATACATTTTTAGATGTTTTATATGTAAAAAAATTAAAGTGAATAAAGAATTGAGGTTTTGTTACATTTATTTTTATATTATCTTACCTTAACAAACAAAATCCATTGTGAGTTCCCCAGGATGATGTACAACAATCGTTTGACATTATGAAGTCGTCTGAGTGATTTTTTTTTAATTTGGCCACAGAAAATAGTCACATAATGATAAATACAGTGGATACGGTCGCTACTTGATTAATCCATAACCCTATTGATGTAAATTTGACCGTGAAGTAGGTAAAAGTGTAATAAATTCGCTCAATGCAGGTGAGTAATATGGAACTACTGTTTCAACATGACCCTAGTAACAATATCTTCGTTTACTGAATTTATGTATTCACTAATTCTGCTATTAACAAAAAAAAACATTAAAAACGAATAAACATTCCATAACTTTCAATATCATGTGATTTATTTAACACATTTTTTGTATTTTAATATATTTTTAGAATAATTTGTTTGTAAAAAATTATTAAAATGGCATATTTATTTTAACCCTGTCTCCAGACATTAAGACTGTTCCTTGCTATTTCGGGCATAGCTAAATTCAGTGTAAAAGTTTAAATAAAGTAACGCAAAAACTATGGCAGATATTGAGATAATTCTTTTGTATATGATATGAGCTCAAAGCTCTGCTTATAGTTATCTCTTTCGGTCAACACAGGTCAACTGTGGCTGTTCTTTTGTTGTCGATAACTAGCTACCAGCGTTGATTGAATGGGTTATTCAATCAACGCTACCAGGTATATACATTCTCTCTGTAGGGTCATTAATAATGTTGAAACGAAAACAAAAATTTTGTGCTTAAATGGACAAAGTTTATTCAAATTCAGACTATTGACAAACCAGAGTGTTCATAGTTTTTACAATGGGTAGTTCACGAAGACGTTTATGTGCCCTACGAAAAAGTCGACGACAATTGGCGAAATTGTATGTAGACCAGTGGTAAGTACCTATTATGTAATTTAATTTTTTGTTTGAATAGAAATATTTTTAGTTGATTTGTGGCATTTTCCTTGTACATTTTTATAACAATACTATTGTTTTACTATTTGTGGCATTTTTCTTCTAATTTTTTATAATAATACTATTGTTTTACTATCTGCTACTAAACAGCATAGAATTTCGTCCAATTAGCCACTACATTTTTTTGTATTTCAATCAGAATTCTTTTCTTTTTTAAACGAGCTCAGTGTAATACTCAAATATTTTGCAGTAAATTTAAGAGAAACTCATAGACAATTTTTATAATACAGCCATGGAATTAATGTTAGCTGCTGGAAAAGAAGAAGAAAGTCTAGCACGAGAATGCGGTGAAGTTGATACAGAAGATAACAAAGCTGTTATTACTGTAATAGCTGATGGTGCATGGGCACGAATGGAAGATCAAATAAGCCTGTATTTTCAGCCAATTCGGGTGTGGCTTGTATTATAGAAAAAAGGTATTGTATTGAGGCATAAAAAACAAGTATTGTTGTGTGTGTGCGTCAAAAAATGTTATTGCTCAATACGTATGTTATTGTATGTTAAATTACAACTGTATTTAGACTGCGATGGAAAGTGCAATTGTTGTAGAAAGTTTAACAAGAGCATAATAAATGCACAACTTAAAATATTTTATTGCTGATGGCGACAGCAGCACGTACAAAAAAATATGTGAAGCCAAGCCGTTTTTTATTGAGAAAATCGAGTACAAAAATCATTTTTTACGCAATTTTGTCAATCGACCAAGAGAACAATACTCAAAAAAATACAGTTTTGCGCGAAAACCTATTCCTTTGCAATTACCATCTGTACTAAAAAGTAATATACAACGCTTAGAAACGGCAATTGACTGTACTGTCAAATATCACAGCTAAAACAATTCCAGTGACAATATAAAAATAATTAGTTTAAAATATATTGAAAAGAGTGCGTATCACGTGTTCGGCGATCACAAAAATTGTGCCGCTTATAGTTGTAAAAACAAAATTTAGACTAGGAAAGTGAGGGTGTCCCAGTTGTATAATCGGCTCGAGTAAAAGATAAAAGCATTTTTGACCTGGATTTGAGAGAGATATTTGAACGACGCTTGGAATATTACTTCATGAACAGATTTTGTTTTCGTAAAGAAAGAAATTTTTGAAATAGAGATAGCCCACTGAAATTCACCATTAGGATTTTTGAGGATGATCCTTAACGACTGCATTTGTTACTATTTTTCAACGTAAAACACTTGCACGTCACGATTTATACAAAGTGACGTCACTTGTATTTAAAATTTCCAGAACATTAACCTTAGAGTTCAAATTTTCCTAACACAGCTAATAATACGAAACCCATACGGAACTATTCGATCTTTCATAAGCGTCAACATGGTGTAATAATCAGAAAAATGTAATCATCATTATATTGGAAATTTTAGAATTATATTGATTAAATAACCAAAAACATTTGTTATTATTAATAATATAAATTGTATGAAATAAATCTTTAAGTCTAATATTCTACAAAATAATAATTTTAATTAAATATCTTAAACAATTGTACGCAACTTTTACGGAAATATTTCAAATTTTATTGACAGTTCAGCGTGTGGCAAAAGTGTATAAAGTGTTGCCGCTTTTTTAAGGTAGGAGTATTGTTTATGTTTTGATTTCTCACACAATTTGATCATAATATAATATATATTAATAAATTGTATTTATAAATACATATTAAATTTATATTAATAGCTTTAAAAACTAATTATTGTTGTGTATTGTGATTTGTATGCCAAAACAAATAGTCTGTAGAAAGCTGATAAACTTTCATATAAGATTGAGTAGTTTGAACAAGAAATAATGGCGGGACGTTTTTACTATTAAATACCTAAAAGAGGTAAGTTTAAAATTTAGAATATAAAATTTTGTTTTAAAATGTTTTCTTATGCATTTTAATGTATTGCAGTAGTCTTAAAACTAAGTGTATGTATTTACTGTATAATAATCGTTTGACAAATAGTTGACATTTTAAAAATTCCTCACTTACTAACTATTCTGATGTTTTGGCGACGCTGTGGGGTTCTGACGATGTAAATCTTGAATGACGTGCAAGCTTTTTTATATAAAAAATGCTCTCACCGGCCGATTGTTGTTATACGACGGTTGCGCCAAAAGTAGGCAACTTACAATTATTGGTTACAGTGTTTTGTGTTTAAAATTTTCTTGAAACGCTACATGAACAGTTCATTTTCGTGGCATGTACTGTATATGTCACCTACGGGAGATCATGAACATGACTCGCATGTACGACAAATTCATTCGAAAACTATCCACATCAGAGCAGATAAAGGTTTGCTTAAGGCAAATCTTTAAATAACCTGAAAATGATTACTGATGAAAATATGCTTGAAGTCATTACCTCACTGGTTTGAGAGAAATGTAATTCATGGTGAAGCAATCAAACAAAAAAAGAAAACAGTTGGTTTTAAAATTATTTAATTCATTACAATGACTTAAAATATAAATATTTTTCAGATAAAATTTACGTATATATATAATATTTTAATACAATGTATAAATACATATAAAGGAATGATATTGAGATACACAATATTTTGCATACTGCATTTTTTATCTTAAAGAATATTTCTGTTGAATAATAATGTATTGCTTCGATTTATATTTAGGTGAAACAATAAATCTAAAGAGATTTCACGGTTAAAATATAGTTATTTCAAAATATTAAGCGATTTCTATTAAGAAAACACAAAATATGTTTTTACATTCCCATCTCTGATGCAAAAATATGAAAAATGAAATTTATTTTCATAACAAATACTAAAATTTGTGGATAATAACAATTCTTGTATCGACATTTAAAATAAACACAGCAAAAACTGATACCAATTCACTATTTTAACAAGTTTTTTAACTTGCTTCTGTGTTTCCTCAGGTGAAATTTAATAATTGATTGATAAGAACTATTATATGAACCTTATCAGTGATCAAAGTACCTAAAAAAGTATCAAAAAAAGTGTAACTGAAATGGATGAAATAACCCTTTTTGTCATTAATATTACTAAATAACACACTAAATGTTTCTTATTTGTAGTATTTGCTATAAAAACTGTTGTCGTTTTGACCTTAGGTCGTCTGGGCTGATTGGATTCCATACTAACCTATTTTAGTGATATCTATTACACAGCCCAACATTGTTTTAATTTTGATGCAAGAAAAAAGCAGCTGTGTTAAAATAATGTAAATGTGTTGATACCACAAAATAATCTAGGCTAACTCTCTTTTTTTGATACACTTCTGTAGATAATATAATAGAGCAATTTTGATGACTGTTTTTGGATTCCGTACACCTAAATTAGTATAAAACAGACAAACATCTCTCGCATCAAAACTTGTGTTGACCAGTGCTATTAAAAACATTTTCTTTGTTTTTGTATCACAGCCCTAATTGATTGAAAACAGTCCTGTTTATTTTTTTGATGACAATTTATGTTTCAAAAACTGTATCTCATCGCACTGTTTGGTAATTTTCTCATTTTGGGCTGCTAGGTGTTCAGTCATAGCATCCAATTGAGTTTTGTAGTTGTTATTTGTGGTCATCAACTCCTCATAACTACTTTCTAAGCTACTTTTGAGCTTTTTATGTTCTAAGGTCACATTTTCTAATCTAGCTGTTAATGCTAAATTTTCTGCCCATACTGTTTGGGTTTCAGATTTGAGAAGGGCATTTGACTCTAAAATTTCACTTATTTGGGACTCAAAGAAATTTGTGAGTTTGTCACTGGATTGTGGCTTTGATTTTAATAATTCACATTCTGCTTTCCACCTTTCTGCTTCGCTTTGCCAGTGTTTAGCCTGAAAAAAATCAGCATTATTACACAACAGTAAAACTCACTAGAAATATGTTAATATACAGTATAGGTAAAAGTTTATGGTCGGTATGGTAGAAATTAACAGGAAATCTAACACAGATATAAAATCATATTTTCAGCGAATAGACAAAGAAAAAAAATATATTTCCCCTTGGTCTCCCCTCCACATTTTTGAGACACGCCCATTAATGAACGTCTTACGAATTTCCGATCCAGCTTAGCTTATATGTAAGAAACAGCGGCAGGGTTGCCTTATTACATATATGAATTAAAAAAACATTGAATTGATTTAAAAAATTGGCGATCAGTGGTGCGGTTATATTGCCATTCAAAATTTAATGATGATATTAAAAATGAAACATTAATTGACACAAATACTGGTCCAAAATTTCTAAAATTCATGAAAAATTTACAGATTCACATTTTTATTTGACGAAATTGTTACCTAATTTTGAATAATATAAGATAATTTTGGCAACATCGCCATTCGTCTAGACGAGAGAGGCCGACAGGTATGTATTTCTTTTTGGAGGTAACTTTGTAAGTGTGAAGATACGAAATAAATATGCCGACTGTTTATACAACAGAAGAACTGGTACAAATAATAAAATATTTTATTTCAAATCCTTTATAAAAGGTATATAATATATATATATATATATATATATATATATATATATATATATATATATATATATATATATATATATATTGTAGGCTCCGTTAATAAATAATATTGTTCTAGTTTTCTTAAGTTTATTTAGCGGATAGAAACACTAATTGTACATAATTCGACATAATAGTTTTCATAACATTCAGATGGCCATAATTCATAATCACAAGTGTCAAGTCTGAACATAAAGTGTGTGGTTATCTTCTTTTTTTTCAAATTGAGTGACAATCAGATCTGTCAATGGCGCGAAATTCAAATAAGACTACAGTTCGGCCATCCTGACACGTCTGATCGTCCTCGATCAACCTAATATTACAGTATATTAATTACATAACTAAGATATTTAACATTCATGACTTTCATAAGACATAACATAATGGATATTTGAAATGAACATTTTCCTCTAAAGTTTAAAACATACAGTAATAATAATAATAATTCATAATGAGTTAAATAAACAAATCATAATAATCATAATTCATAATGGTTTAAATAAGCAAGACATAACATTCATAATAGTTTAAATAAGCACGACATAACATACATAATGGATTGAAGTGTCCATAGGGGTACAAATGGAAATCATAATATCCATAACACACCCTAACTGTCTCGATGTTATGGTACAAGTAATGGATTATAAATAAGCATAAACATAATTGAATAAAAATTAAACATAATTATTTTAACCCTAACTAATAATGAAATTGATTATTTATCATAAGCTCTAATCCTACTACTGTCTATAACTCCCTCATATGGTACTTGTGTTGTTTGGAACCCAACAATATCATTCACAATATACCTATCATTTGGTAGCTCTTTCACAATCTCATACGGTCCTCTAAATTTTGGTATAAGTTTTTTAGCTACTCCAGGGGTTGTGTCTACGTTGGAAATCATAACATATTGCCCCACCTTAAACTGTTGAGCCTCCTTATGCTTCTTGTTATAATACTGTTCATTTACATTTTGTGCCTTAATTATTTGTGCTTCTGCCTTAGTTCGAATCATTTCTAAATCCCGTTCTTCCTTATCAATATCTTGTAATGCTTCTCTTAAATTATCCCTAATCTTTCCTATTTGATCTCTTCCAAAAAGTAACTTAGCTGGGGTTTCTCCTGTTGATCTGTTTATTGTATTATTGATGCAGAATTCCACTTCATGTAATGCATTTGGCCAGTTGATTTGTTTTTCATCGGTTATCTTTGCTAGAAGAGGTGTCAATAACCTGTTCATGCGTTCTATTTGCCCATTGGCTCTCGGACAACCACTTGCAATCAGTATGTGTTTGATTGTATACTCCTCCAAAAATTTCTTAAAATCATGAGAGGTAAAACAAGATCCTCTGTCTGAACTGATAACGCTCGGTACACTATAATTGGCAAAATGTTCAGTTAAATATTTAATTACTTCTCCTGTATTTGTTGATTTGCAAGGATAGAACTTAATAAATTTAGTAAACCCATCAACAACTTCAAATATATATTTATTCTTATTAAAAGGAGCTAATGGCCCATAGTGATCAATATGAAGCATTTCAAAAGGTAAATTGCCCTTAGGTATACTATGTAGATATCCTTCTGATTTGCCACTTTTAGGATTGAATTCAATACACTTTAAGCAATTTTGAATATGATTTCCAATCTTAAATTTTAATTTTGGAAACCAATATGTCTTGGAAATAATTTCAAATGTTTTGTCTGTTCCGAAATGACCCAATTCATTATGATAGTGATAGATAACTGCTGACTCCATACTCTCTGGTACATAAAATGCAATGTTATCTTTCAGTTTTCTATATACTAACCCATTTCTTAATTCAAAGAAAGGATGATCTGTCTCCTCAAGTCTTTTTCGAAGATCTGAAATAACTGTATCCTTGGACTGTTTTAAAGCCAAAGTTTGTTCAATAGTATTTCCTTCTAATACCAGTACATAACTCACTCTGCTTAAGGCATCTACATGTTGCATTCTTGTATTTACTCTGTGCTCAATAGAGTAATCATAATTTTGCAATAACAAACACCATCTCATAATCCTTGGAATTATATCCTTTTTACTCATGGTTAAGCGAAAACTGTCACAATCTGTAACTATTTTGAAAGGGATTCCCTGTAGATAAACATGAAACCGTTTAAGTGCATACACAATACTCAAGCATTCAAGTTCGTAGCTATGGTAGCGAGACTCATAGTCAGTTGTTCTCTTGCTAAAGAAAAACACTGGGTGAAATTTGTCATCACTTTGTTTCTGAAGTAAAATTGATCCATAGCCTACTTGGCTTGCATCACAGTGTAGTTCTGTTTCCCTACTCGGATCATAAACTGCTAAAATAGGTTCTGATGTCAGTTTTGACTTCAAATTCTCAAAAGCTTGTAAATGTGTCATTGTAAATTCAAATTTGACATTTTTTCGTAATAGGTCATATAACGGCTTGGCGATGATAGAGAAGTTCTGTATAAAACGTCTAAAATAACTGGCAAGGCCTAAGAATCTATGCACCTGCTTGGTATCTGTAGGAACTGGATACTCTGCAATAGCTTTCACATTATCTTTATTAGGACATATACCATTTTCATTAATCCTGTAACCCAGAAAATCTATTTCTGTTTTCAAAAATGAACATTTATCTAGTCTTAACTCAAGTAAATTCTGGCTAACTAATATTAAAACTTCTCTTAACACTTCTAGATTTTCTTCGATAGTCTGAGTAGCAATTAATATGTCATCAAAATATATTAAAACATTTCCTTGTTGGCACAAATCTTTAAAAATTTTATTAACAAACCTTGCAAAAATAGAGGGACTTGAGCTCAAACCAAAAGGTAATTTAAGAAATTCATACTGACCTGAAGGTGTAACGAATGAAGTATACTTAGTACAACTTTCATCTAAAGGAACATGGTAAAAAGCATTTTTCAAATCCAATTTAGAGAAATATTTCTTATTCTTTAACCTGTCTAAATGATCATCTATTAGCGGCAAGGGAAATTGATCTCTAATAAGATATTTATTTAAAGTACGATAGTCTACACACATTCGATATTCATTTGACTTCTTCTTGGTTAATACTACTGGTGAACAGAAAGGTGAATCACTTTCCCTAATGACATTATTTTCTAATAAATTAGCAAGAATTTCATCCAATGACTTTTTCTCTGCATAAGATAGTCTACGTGGTCTGATACTAAAAGGTTCATTTTTAGTTAAAGTAAGCTGTGCTTTGAAATCACACTGTGGTTTTAATGGTTTATCATAATCAAAGTAATATGACTTCAATAAAGTTTGAACACTAGTAGTTATTTCAAAAGGTAAACAATAATTAATATTCAAGTCTGCATCTAAATTTACCATATCGTTAATAAACAAAACATCTGTAAAAGGAAACTGATAGTCCTCCTCTGTTTGTACACAAGAGTTTTTATTTATTTTAAAAGAACCATTTGAAAAACTTATATTTTCTATGGATTCATTGTTTATAAAATCTCGACCCAAAAGTAGATTCCAACTAAAAGAATCTTTCTCAACAACATAAAATTTTAAATTTACTGATATGTCATCAAAAATAACTGTGTCATAAAAAAACCCTAACACTTTTAAAGGAGATTTATTTATACCTGAATAAGATTCAAGATTAGTAGAAGAAATAATATCTTCTGCCTTTACAAAATTTTCTGATATCAATGATATTGGACTCCCTGTATCTATTATACCATTTAATGTTATGCTATACTTATCTAGAACCAGGTTTAATACAAAAGGATCCGTTTGGCTCATAGGACGTTCCACTAGACCCATGGCTCCATTACTATCTCGGGTAGTTGAATCTGCAACTTGTTGCACCACTTGCTGGTTTCTATTAGGACAGTCTCTTACCATATGATCTTTGCTTCCACATCTAAAACATGATCCCCTATCACGCTTGGCTTGTCTGCACTCTGTCACTTTGTGTCCGGTACGACCACAATTAAAGCATTTTACAGGAACTGGCATCCGACCCTGTGTTGCTGTATGAGGTTGGTTCTGGCTAGAACTTACCCTATAACTTGATGCTGTAGCAAACCTTTGTCCACTTCCTGATACCTCATCTTTAACAACACTCCCCATTAACTTATATAAATCTTCAGTGCTATTGAGTGTGGATAACATCATTTTGGCTTGATTTTGAAGTAGGCGATCATCAAACCCATCAATCAGATAATGTATCATATCTTCATCCTCAACTCCTGCTTCGTTGCCCAGTAACAGTTTGTCATGGAAATATGCTGAAAAGCTTTCACTCTTTTTCCACCTTCTAGTCTCCATCTTTCTTCTCGACGACACTGGATCATAAGTTCTCCCATACATTCTCCTAATTTCATTTTTTAAACCTGTCCAATCTGTGGAAATTAAATTTGGTTTGCTGAGGTACCATTCCTTCGCTTTTCCGGTCAATTTTCCAATGACTAACAGTTGTAAAATATCAGTTGGAACATTATACACAGTTTTGATTTTTTCTATTCTTTCTAACCATATTGCAACATTCTGGCTTTTGTCTGTGCCTGAAAATTCCGGCATTAAATTTGATAATTCACTGTTAGTAATTTTTATGGGGTTATGTGTCGGCATCTGATTTTCTGGACCGGCAATTTTCTTTTTCTCTTCATAATCGAGGATTGCCTGTACCGCTGTATGAACAATTTCAGCTATACTCGCCTGAGCGACGGTGTTTCCACTTGTATTTTCAATTGTATTGTATTGTATTGTATTTTCAATCCCGGCATGGCTATCGTCAATACTAAACACAATTTTTAAATCTGCAAAAATATCGGCGATCCACGTAATCCCACTTCTGATTCTGTAGGCTCCGTTAATAAATAATATTGTTCTAGTTTTCTTAAGTTTATTTAGCGGAAAGAAACACTAATTGTACATAATTCGACATAATAGTTTTCATAATATTCAGATGGCCATAATTCATAATCACAAGTGTCAAGTCTGAACATAAAGTGTGTGGTTATCTTCTTTTTTTTCAAATTGAGTGACAATCAGATCTGTCAATGGCGCGAAATTCAAATAAGACTACAATATATATATATATATATATATATATATATATATATATATATATATATATATATATATATATATATATATAATAAAATGCCCAAACGGGCTATCACAATTACATTACAGAACGTTTTCGGAATGTTAATTCCATCATCAGTGTAAACGGAGTATACATGCCACCAAAATATATGGGTCACAACCCTTTAAATGTTACAAATTTATAGTTATTTTACATTATTTATAATTACAAATTAGGATGTTTAAGTTACCGTTGGAATTGGTAACATGGCGACGTATGACCCTACATAGGTTATATGGTCCTGAGACGAAGTATCTTCGAGGACCTGTTGATAACAACTAGTTATTGTCTGCGCAACAGACGTTGCGACAATGTCTGCGCGTAAAGATGTTAGTATTTTATGGCACCACTTTGAGAAAGACATTAACAGTGAGAAGGCTGTATGCAAATTTTGCATAGAAAAACTTAGTTATAAATCAACTACAGCAAATTTGAAAAGTCGTTGAAAGTATTTCAGTATATTTTTCTTTGATTCAAGAAAGCATGCTTGTTTATGTACTCGCTTAAGTATTTTAATTAGTTTTTCAACTTTTACTTGTTTAAGAAAAGCGGTTCAGTTTCATTAACGATAAAAACGTCAACAGCTCACTTCTACTGTTTTTCTCGTTACTACAGTCAGAGAACTACGAACACAGTTCGTAGTTCAGTGTCCTCACTTTAAGAACTTGATGTTAAATAATTTTGTAAGCTTTTTTATTGTGGTGTCATATTGCAGTTTATTATTTTTATTGAGAATAAGGCACAATGTGACTTTAAAATAAGCTTATTTTAATGTTTAGATTTCCAAATCGGAAATTGTACTTAAAATATGAAATATTAATAAATTTTATTTACATAAAACGATTTCCGAAGTAGAATTCAAAATGTTAAATTAACTTACTGTAAAGGAAAATTGTGGCATAAATAAAATTAAAAACATTACACTGCCATTTAAATCAATTCGCCCAAATTTGATTATCTTAGAATGTTGTTAAAATGCTAAAATGACAATGGTCAAATAAAACCAATAAGTTTGGCAATGTTGAACTTCTCCTCTTTTCTTAGTTCCACTAATGCTATTTCAACAATATAAAGGGCGGACCTAATATACCTCTCTCTTTTTAAATAGGTGCTTCTCACTCCATCTCACGTAAAGTACATACCGACCATAAACTTTTACCTACACTGTATACGTAAACTTTGCAAAACATAGGACAGACTGCTTACAGAAATTAGAAAAAATATGATCAAAGTCAACACAACCAATTTTATTATATAAAATGCGGAAAAAATGAAAATTTGTTACTTTTATATACCTACATTCTTAAGAGCAACCTTCCCAAGTCTTCTATTGAACAAAAATAATATATTTTGACAAGAAAAAAACTGACAAATGGAAGGAAAATACTTACACTCTCTTCAGAGCTATCTGAAGACCTTTTGTTTTCAGCATTGTGAAGAGATAGTTTCCTAACATTTTTCTCTAACTCCTGCAATTGTTTTCTATGTTTTTCTTCATCTTGGTTATGCAGTTTTTCTTTATTAGTTAATTCTGTTTGGAGATTTGTGATTAGTTCATCTAAATTCTTTAGTTTTTCTCTACATTCTAATATTTCGGAATCTTTCTCAGCTATCTAAAAATACAGATAGGTGAAGCATTCCTAGGACATTGAAATAAAAATATTTTTCGATACACTAACTGTTCCTAACATTACATATTAAAAAGTTATTGAGCATTAAAGTTATATGACGTTCTATATCAGCTGTAGCTTTTGGCAAACAAAAATCAAACATAATTAAGGGGCGTATATATTGTTGTATATTTATAACATCTGGTAGATCATTGCACTTACAGAGTTGAATAATTGAGCATTTTCGAGAATTTTCTTCTGCAATTCGTCATTTAATACGCTGATATCAACGTTAGGTATACTTTCGGTTGTTTTGTTCTTATTTTTCTTGCCACTATTACTAGTCTGCAGCTCTTGCTGAAGGACGACAATTCTTTTTGTTAACTGATCATTTCGAAAAGTAAGGCTTTCGATTTCTTGATCGCGTTTCCTGACGGTTTGTTCGTGATTTCTAACTTGATCTTGAAGTCCTGCTGTCTTCGCTTGTTCATCTAAGACGGCTTTTTTGAGAACAGTTGCTTGAGATCGTATCTAAAAGTTGTTAGGTTGAGTTGTATTTAATAAATTCTTTTCGTTACGTACCTTGGAATATTCAGCAGCTAATCTTTGATATTTTGACTCGATGTCTGTTTCCTTTTCCATATCAAATTTTTCTAAATTCTATTTTAATTTAGTTTTCTTATAAAATCATTTCCGAAATTCAATTGTCAAAACAATGTCTGACATATAAAAGAAGAGGAACGGTTTTAGAGGGAGGGAAATATAAAAGTGAAACATAAAATATGCATAAAATTAAGTAAACAGTTCTTCACCCATGTCATATGTTGTATTTTTTAAACCACTTGTAGGACTTAATTTTAAAATAAAGGTATTAGCCATAAAAAAATAATATATAATTTTTGTTTAGGACGAGAAAAATAAGTCTATTAATAGTGCCCCAATAGTGCCTATATTCACTTCGTGTCTAACGTTTAAACTTCACGTCAGTATCGTATGGAAAGTTTGTTGACATTCGCCATTATCATTGTATCCACCAAATTAACTGTGCAATGCCAAAATTGCTAGTAGAAATATAAATGTGCAGATTGATGCAGTTTAAAGTTTCAATGAATTAAACGAAGTATTTTTAACTTGTGTTATAATAAATCACAAATCACTGTAAGTTATATAAGTACATAAGATATATATTTAATAAAAGTTAACATTAAAATTTTCTGTTTATAGATGAGTAGTGGAAGTCACCAATATTTACAAAACACAAGCCAAAAGCCTTGTGTACGTACAGGTGATATTGAGCATTTATCTCAACTGTCCGAGAATTTGGCTGCCTTATGTTTAACTCAGGAACATTCTGATGTTACTCTAGTAGTTGAGGGGCAGAAATTAAATGCTCATAAGGTAAAATTATGTCTTAGTTACTTCATTACATTTATTTTGAATGCAATACATGTTCCAGGTAATTTTAGCTGCACGAAGTGACTATTTCAGAGCTCTTCTATATGGAGGTATGAAAGAGTCAACCCAGAATGAGATTCTATTACCAGATGCTCCATTAAAGGCTTTTAAGGTTCTCCTTAAGTACATTTACACAGGTAAAATAGATGTATTAAGATTTTTGTTATTATTTTTAAGGATACTACAAATTTTTGCTTTAAAACTATTTTATAAAATAATATTTTTGTGGACTGACTTTCATTTAAATAAATGAGCTATGCCAAATTTAGGCAACTCATAGTTCCTCGTTGCAGTGTTGTCGGATTTTCACAATTTCTGTAAATTACAGAAAATCCAATCTTCCTGAAATTTTCTTCACTTTTTGTTTCTAAAATTATGCGAAATTTAGATATAATCAATCACTTGCGGACCAAATATTTGCCTTATAACAATTGCAAATTATCTGATATATACATAAACTACAATATATGCAATTTTCATCAATTTCAAACCAGTTTAGGTTGTCACAAAAAGTTTGCTGGCCTACAGAAATTAAGTATTATAAAAAATGTGATCTTATTTGAATTAAAACAGCCACATAGGCAAGAGAAATCATTACCACAACTGTCTATTATCACGAAAACCCCAAATTTTATTTCATTTTTAGATTAAATTACAATAAATGATAATTACATTAATGCATCGAAAATAAATGTATTTTATTACATATTTTTTATATCTAAATATTTGGTTGGCAGAGTATTTGATTTTTTTGTAAATTGCAATTTTTGCACCATTCAGTCATAATAATAAGAGTGTTGCGTCAGTGACAACTCAATATTTTGAATGAATCTATTTTAGGCCATATGTTCCTAACTACCTTAGAAGAAGATGTCATCCTAGATACTTTAGGTTTGGCACACCAATATGGATTTCAAGACTTAGAAACTGCCATATCAGATATTCTGAGGCAGTTGCTTGCTTTAAATAACGTATGTGCCATTTTAGATGCTGCTCATCTGTATGGGCTAGATAACTTGGTCAAAGTGTGTCACAATTTTTTAGACATGCATGCATCAGAAATCTTAACTCAGGAATATTTCATACAGCTTTCACAGGTAAGGTTATAATGCATTTTTACATTTTACAATTAGTATAATTTTCTATATTAGGAGACATAATATTATTTTGTTCTTATTTTTTATGCAATTAAAAATACCAGAATTGATTTTTCAATAGCAGTGATCATATGGAATTATTTATTCAATTATATCTGTTTTCAGCTAGTTTTAGCTTGAAAAAATTACTTTTTTACACTTTATTTTGTATTAAAGGAGAGTCATGACACAAATTATGTACGCAAACTGCTTCTATGGTATAGTATATCTCAATACTAAACATTAAGTGGCTATTCTGACAATGTAATAGGTACTTGAATAAAAGAAGGGAGAGAGCCTTTCATTTTTTGCTGATATGTGGTTATTCATTATTTGTGTATTCATTTCTACACATCAGAGATGAAGAAGTGGAAAAGAAATGACGAAAGCCCACCAAAAGGAAGAGTATTTTTTGAGATTCACTTGGAATACTTTAAAAAGAGTACAACAATAATTGGCATCTTTCATGCAGCCTATGTGCCGCCGATGCCAATTAGACGGAACATTTGGTTAGTCTGGCAAAAAATTGTCAAGACAAAGAAACAAGCAACCATTGCACAGCAACCATTGACCAAAATTACATTTGCTGTTCGCAAATGAGAAAAGAGGACTGTCATAAAATAAAAAAAAAACTTGTTGTCATTCATTGATTTACATATTACTGTTTAGTTAAAGTTTGTTTAGCAGTAAATGGTTGACTTCAATTAGTACCGACTATAAGCATCCTGGGTTAATAATAACCGATATAATTGCGTACAATCCAAACTCATTATAATTTCATTAATACAGATAAAGCGTATATTGACGAAATTGTACTAATAAGAGGATTTTTCAAATTCTTATATTTATATAATAAGTTTATGCAACTGAATACCAACCAGTATTTAAATATGAGTTCTTGATAAAATTTGTTTGTCTTTATGTATCACAGGAAGTGTAGTAGTAAAAGTAGAAAGTAGTATTACTCATTTTATTCATTACATTTTCTATCATTATGTGGCGTCTGTGAGATAATAATAATGGGGCTTCTTCTAGTGTGCCGGTAAAGAAAAACCATTTATCTGTAGATGCATAGCAAATTGTAAAAACTGTATACAGTACCTTACTTAAAAGAGGACTTGACACAACTTCCGCTATGAGTGAAATATGAGATTTGACGAAAATACCTCTATCCACAGTAAATAGAATTACATCAAATCCCATAGAAACAATAAAAAAACGTAAAGATTCCATTTCCACCAAATGTATGGACGAAGCTGATAAAGACTTTATATGTCGAAAAATCTATACCATGTACGAAGAGCAACGCATACCTACATTGAGAGCTCTGAAGTAACGGCTCAATGTTGATGAAACCCAAATAAGCTATAGCCTCACCAGCTTATGGAAAATTTTGAAAAGTATGGGCTTTCGATATCGTATAATTGACAAAAGACAAGTAATTATGGAATCTCATAGATTTCAAAAATGGCGTTTTTCATAACTTCGATAAGAAAATTCCGTTCTGAAAATCATCCGATAATTTACCTCAACGAGACATGGTTTGACACACATTCAACGCGACCTAAAGGATTTTCCGATTATAAAAATGTAAGATAAAAGCTCCGTCAAATAAAGGGAAAAGAATAACCATTTTACATGCGGGATCAGAAAATGATTGGGTTCCAAATGCTTTCTGCAGTGGCTTTTTGCAAAGAATATTAAAGACTCCTGCGTCGACTACCATGAAGATACAACGGCAGAACTTTTTGACGAATGGTTCAAAAATAATCTTATGACAAACATTCCTCAGAATAGCTTGATAGTAATGGACAATGCAAGCTATCACAGTCGCTAACTAAGTAAGGCTCCAAACTCGAATAATACTAAATTGGAAATTCAAAATTACATGGAGACGAATCAAAAGTATTTTGAAGAATGTTACACCAAACAAGAGCTTTTAGAAGTTTTAAAGGCATTTTCTATAAAAAAAAAGTATATGTTTGTGATATATTGGCAGAGGAAATGGGACACAGGAATACAGTTCGGTGGCTTCCACCCTATTGCTTGTTTAATGCCATAGAACATATATGGCACGAATTGAAGTCTAACGTGAGGTGACAAAATATGTCTTCAATGTTAAGTAGTACTGTTGTAGAGTTAATAAGAAAATGTGTCAATGATATTCTTCCAAGTAGTTGGAGAAATTCAGTCCGACACATAATAAGCAAAAAAAAAATCATATGTTCATGTAGAACATAATATAATTGCACCGATCATAATTAATTTAGATGAGGATAGCGATAGCGAAATAGAACTATGTGTGGAGTAATACTGTTATTAAATCTACAAATGTTACGATTAAAAAAACGGTTCTTTTTAGAATTACAAATTATTGTTTATTTTTCTTTAATCTTATAGATTTAATTTATTTTAAAACTCATTTGAAAACATTAATTTCGGGTATATAAGGCAAAGCAATATATTTTACATTCGTTTTTTTTTGTTTTTGTCTCCGTAATAATTGTAAATTTTGTGGATCCTTTGCTTTATTATAGGAGTACCGTCTAGTCCGTGTTAATTGTCAAAAGACCAACTCTGTCTACCTCGTTTGCTTATCACTCCGGACTGGTCTCAACAATGAGCACAGTCAGATGAATTTAATAATATTTATGACCGCACTAATTGAAGTCAACCATTTTCTGCTGAACAAACTTTAGCCTCATATATCATCATATCCTGTGAAGTCATGTGATCACTGGTGGCTCGATATTTTTCCTCTAATTTTTCATGCTAATATTAGATTGTTTGAATTATGTTCATCCCATGTCATGTCATCACTTTATTATTTCATTTCTGAGTAGATTTAGAACATAATAAAAACAAATTTGTACTCAATGTCTCAAACTTTATTCTTAGGCATCTCTAGTAGAACTCCTTCAAAGAGACTCCTTTTTCGCTCCAGAAGTCGAAATCTTCCGAGGCGTTTGCAACTGGTGTAAAGCAAACGAAGACAAGGATGATTTAGTCATGAAATGTGTCAGATTGCCGTTAATGAGCGTTGCCGATCTTCTGTCGGTGGTTAGACCTGCCGATTTGGTCAAGCCAGACGCTCTCTTAGACGCTATTGCTGAGAGGACCAATATTAGATTGAGCAGTTTACCGCACAGAGGACAGTTGGGTGAGTAAAATACGTCTCGAATGTTTGCTTCTTACTTATAAAGTTTATTGTTATTATTATTATATGTTGGCTTAGAATATTCTCCCTTCTCTAGGTTGCTGTATCTCATCTCTCTCTTGATTCCTTCTCTCCAACTCATTTTTGTCTTCCTAATTGCATGTATTATTACTTTTACTATTACATATTTGAAATTTAGGCATACACAATTTTTTTTAGTAGTTTACGAAAACGTAGCCTGTCCTAGACTCGGTTCAAAAGTAGTATCTGGAGAACTGATGGAGTATTTGCTGGACAGTGATCACTATTCGTATGATATGGAAAGAGGCTACACGAGACACGCTATAAATGGACCCGGCGATCATGGAATCATTGTCAAATTGGGTCAGCCTTCCATTATAAACCACATTAGGATGTTGTTGTGGGACAGAGATCTAAGGTAAGTTTGAAGTAGTCGGGAGGATCGTCCAATGTTCTTTTCATTCATGTCAACGTCATAAATATCTTGTGTCATTCGATTCCTCGTTTTACATAGAGGGTTATTCTATTGACACCAGCTAGTGCATAGCTCTCATTTATGTATGTAGCGAGGAAACTCCCGTTAAGAAATGAGAAAGTTTTTAGTGATTCAAAATTATAAATATTTGGCGGCAAATTCAAATTGTTATGTTTTGAATCAATGTCCTTGCTGTATAAGACATCATAGGTATTTAAAATATTGTTAAATCCAAACTCTTTTCTTATTAATAACCAAAAGACTTTATGCTTTCATAACGGTACAGCGTTGCCTATTTATCTAAATAATCTATCATGTTGTATAATTTAAAAAATTACGAGAATTACAAACTGCTTTTATTGTTATGATTTACAACGAAAAATCTAGATAAACAAATATGGTTTTGTAATGAGACTTATGTTTAAATTAGATTAGAAAGTAAATTGAAAATATTTAATGGAACCAATAAGTTAAATTTAATGACTGATATCAAATGTGCAAAGTTTGGAATAGTTTTGTGTTTGTTTTATGTGATAAATAATTCAAAGATAAAATACCTAGATTAAATAAACATTAGGTCCTCATTTGAAATGGATTTATTGTTTTTGTAAATATTAGCTGTGCATTGTGCAAATGCACAATTCACAGTCTGAGGCATTTTTATATATCTAGAGATGCCTTAATAATTTTACTTTAAAACCATATTAGTCAACACGAGGAATTTTTTAATTTGTGTATGCATACTTTTACATCAGATGTTACTATTGGGCCCATACATAACGAACTCGACCTTCTAGGTAGCCTGCTAAGATAGTAGTTTATTTCATGCTCAGAGTTTTTGATATAATATCTGCTATATTCGTGAAGTATTGGTTAATCTCTTCTGGTGTTAAGTTCAGATTGGACGTAGTAGTTAGTGGATTTGTTTATTATGTTAGCATAAACAGTACGTTTTTCAGCTTTTATTGATTGCTTGTATTTCTTTCGCATTTGACAATATGTAATCCAATTGTCAATAGTACGTGTTTTCCTATAAGTTGCTTACAATCGTAGAATTGTTTTCTTAAATTTCGAAGTTTGCTATTAAACCAATGAATAGCACGTTTTCTGCTATACACATACACATTTAAATAAACAATTTTGGAAGTATTGTGTGCACAAATCATGGTTTAATGGTAGTTCTATGTATTAAATGTGTTTTCAACGCATTACATGGTGCCAAATCAGGACTGAATGATGTCTATTGGATGATTTCAACGTTGAAAAAGTTACTCAGAGCTTAAATTTTTTGAAAAATTCTTCCTAGACGCATTCATGATCGTTCTGGATTTACAATCTTCTTATGTCGGTTCTCAAGAATTTTTCTCTAGTCTTTTTTATCTGTCGCCTTACGGTGGCGTAGTGTAAAGGTGAATATTTGATACGCTAGAAGCGTAATAACTCTGTTGTTAAAATATTGGAAGAGATATTTCTTGTACATTGTGAATATTTCCAATATTATGATTACTAGAGAGCGATTTTTGTCTTCATATTTGTTTTTCAAATTGTTGTGGCTCCATTATTGTATATTAGCAACCATATTTACCTGGTTTCGACTGGAGATTATCTATTCCGGGAGATTTGTTTCTGACTAGACTTTATCGGTAATTTTTTAGGTCTGTAGTGAATTTTCTTCAGTTGTTTTCTTCGGTGCTTATTTTGTAAACCTTGTCTTCGAAATCAGTTTGTAATATTTGGTAATTGCTTTGCATCCCTTATTGCTAGCCTTTCTCAATTACTCGCGACCATTTGACTTGTTTACCATAAAAAAATATCAAAATTTACCAAATTTTTTTTTCTTAACTTTTATTGCGCGATTCCCTCTTGACTTTTTCACGTAAAACTTAACACTGGCATTTCTAGTAAGTTATTCTTCATTGATATGGTGAAAAAATATTTTATTAAACCATGGAACTAGTATAGGCTAACTGCTTATCAATCCTTCCTCGTATAAAGCGTGTTTGATAATTTATTCACTAATTAATACCTACTGCAGGTCCTATTCATATTACATCGAGGTATCCATGGAACAAAAGGATTGGGTCCGAGTGATCGACTACAGTCAGTACAGCTGCCGCTCCTGGCAAAATCTTTATTTCGAAAACAGAGTCGTCCAATATATCAGAATAGTGGGCACACACAATACTGTCAACAAAGTGTTCCATCTGGTGTCTTTGGAAGCGATGTTCAAATTAAAACTTCCAAAGATGGTGAACGACATTATTTGTCCGGATTACAACGTGGCAACGCTGGACAAAAACGCTGTGGTCATCGAGGGAGTCAGTCGTTCCAGGAATACTCTTCTGAACGGAGATACGAAACGTTACGACTGGGATTCTGGATATACCTGTCATCAGTTAGGATCTGGAGCCATTCTTATCCAATTGGGTGAGTAATAAACAAATTTGCCGGTTTTATATAATGAATAATCCAGTAATTCTTGCGATCCGATGATCCTGATGAGTACTGGATTTATATTTATTTTTAAAGATATTACGTATATATTATCATTTGTTTAGGCCAGCCTTACATCATATCAAGTCTTCGTCTCCTACTTTGGGACTGTGACGATAGAAGCTACAGCTACTACATCGAATCATCTATAAACATTTGGGAGTGGGAAATGGTGGTCGATAACACTAGAGAAAGTTGCAAATCGTGGCAGGTTATTCGCTTTTCACCAAGGCCGGTGGTATTTATCAGAATCGTCGGTACTCACAATACAGCAAACGAGGTAAGACATTTTTGGACATTTATATCTTATTAGTCAAGTTGTCTATTAATTACATTGAGGAAAAACACATTTTTTATTAAATAAACGGAATTTTTTACTTTTGGGCCATAAACTTTTCACAATTTTGAATTTTTTTATCCTATTCAAAATATACTTAGAGAAAGCCTTGACTACATGGAAAAGAAAATGCGAAGGCATGGAAGTACCGGTACGAAACGAATACTTATATAGGTTAAGATTTACAAATGATCAAGTAGTGATTGCACAAGACCAAGAAGACCTCAGTTACATGATGAAGAAACTACAAGAAGAATATACCAAGGCTGGCCTAGATATTAACCTCGTAAAAACAGAGTACCTATCTACAAGTGAAGCATAGAAGATCTACAGATTGACGACAATGTAACAATCAAAGGAAAGGATAAATTCAAATACTGGGGGTTTATAATCACGAAAAAGGCAACAACAGAGGAAGAAATTACACAAAGATTAGGACAAACAATAACAGCAATGTGCAATAAAAATAGCAGCAAGATAGTAGCAACAGAGATGGAATGTCTGCGAAGATGCTGCAGAGTAAGAAGAATGGATAGGGGAAGTAATGACGAAATAAAACAAAGAACATCAATAGAAACAGACATACTAACATACATAGAACAAAAAAGAATAAAGTGGTATGGATATGTAAGAAAAACTAGTGAGAGCAGATGGATAAAGAAAATAACCCAATGGAGCCCCATAGGAAGGAGGAAAAGAGGATGACCCCGAAGATCCTGGAGGAACGAAGTAGACGACGCCATTAGTAAGAGAGGCCTAAACGATTCAAATGGGACAACAGAGAGAGATGGAAACGGTTGAGCGAAGGAAGGCAGTGATCATTGAATACTGTAGAATCCCTGTATATACTTTTCACAATACCCTAGTATAAATATTTTTTATATGAGGTTTTTCATACATATTAAATATGTTTTTTTTTCAGTATTAGACCATGAACTTATCGCATAAACGAGCGTTTGCATTTTTAGATTACTGTTCATCGTTTTAGGTATTCCATTGCGTTCATTTCGAATGTCCTTCGATGGAAGAACATTCGAATACTTATAGGCAATGAACTTATCACAATACCCCCGTATAAATGAGCGTTTTCTCGTATAAACGAATTTTTTTACTTTTAGGCCATGAACTTTTTACAATACTCTCTTATAAAGGCGCGATTTTTTCAGTAGTAGACCATGAACTTATCTCATAAATGAGCATTTGCACTTTCAGATTATTGTTCATCGTTTTAGGTATTCCACTGCGTTAATTTCGAATGTCCTTCGATGGAAGAACTTTCGAATACTTATGGGCAATGAACTTATCACAATACCCCCGTATAAATGAGCGTTTTCACGTACAACCGGAATTTTTTACTTTTAGGCCATGAACTTTTTACAATACTCTCTTATAAAGGCGCGATTTTTTCAGTAGTAGACCATGAACGTATCTCATAAATGAGCATTTGAACTTTCAGGTTATTGTTCATCGTTTTAGGTATTCCACTGCGTTAATTTCGAATGTCCTTCGATGGAAGAACTTTCGAATACTTATGGGCAATGAACTTATCACAATACCCCCGTATAAATGAGCGTTTTCACGTACAACCGGAATTTTTTACTTTTAGGCTATGAAATTTTCACAATACCCTCGTATAAATGAGCGTTTTCTCAGTATAGACCTTGAACTTGAGCGTTTGCAATTTTAGACTTATTGTATGTCGTTTTAGGTATTCCATTGCGTTCATTTCGAGTGTCCTTCGATGGAAGACGTAGAACCGGCTACCACTCCGAAACAGAAGAGATTGAAAGAGACGTGCGTTCAAGAAGCCGGAGCTCAAGCGCCCGAAACAGCTACGGAAGCCGAAGAAATGCCCACGGATGATGTAGAAAACGTATTGCAATAAAATTTACAATAATAGAAGTAATTAGTAAATATGTATAAATTGAGGGTAGGATTTTGGCTCTGCGTAGAGAGGGCCGTTAGTTATGTTTCTTGTTAGGTTGTACTTTCAACATCTTGGAAATCATCAGCAAGAGTTTTTTTCTTTAATTTTGGTATTAATATCAAAAGCTATATACAGTTAAGTGCACAAAAGTTATTAAGTCATATTAGGTGAGTAAAATATAGGCAGTTTTCTTACGCACCAACATTTACAAGTCCAATGAGACAATGATTTCAACTTTATTCTTTTTTTTGCGAATGAAAGCGCCAAGGTCTTATTTTTGATTATCAGTCGTCATATGCAAGCACTTGTCAGCAAAGTCTGTCCCTAAACAATTCGTTTTTAGTATAATCAAATAATATCAATATTTTGAAGTTATATTTGTCTCTAAAGATATTAATTTAAATTATATCTTCGGTAAAACAGTTTTTTTTAACGATATTTCAAAAGTCTTTGGGTAATAAAGTGCTAAAGTCGTCCCATTTTTATATAGCAGATTTAAAACTAAAAAACCTTTTTTCAACTTATTTTATAATAATATTAAATCTCTATCAATCTTTTAAGCTTATAATGTTGTTCTGTGGATATTATTTTCAGCAAAATTTCGTTAAAACAGTTTTTTGACTTTATTCATTAATTTTTTGCTAAAGAAAGTACAGCGATTGATTTATGTTTAGCAGTCATCACATTTTAGCATTCGTCCACATAACTTTCTCTCAAATAACTCTCTTCTTATAAATTTAAGTACATATCAACATTTTAAGGTTATGTTAGTCTTCTACGGATATTAATTTAATTTAAAACTAAAAAAAACTTTTTTCAACTTGATTTTATAATAATTTTAAATCTGTATCAATCTTTTAAGGTGATATTGTGGTAATTTAATTTAAAACTAAAAAAACTTTTTTTTACTTGATTTTAAATCTGTATCAATATTTTAGGGTTATATTTTGTTCTGTGAATATTAAATTCAAGTTAAATTTCATTAAAACAGTTTTTTTAATTTATTCTATATATTTTTTAAGTATTGAAGTCGTTTTTGTTTCACAGCAATCACATTCTAGCATTTATCAACAGAAATTGCTTCCAATTACTCGTTTCTAATAGGTTTAAGTATATATCAATATTTTAGGGTTATGTTAATCTTCTAAGAGATATTAATATAATCTTAGACGATTTTTTCGACTTAATTCTCTTTTATTTTGCTAGTAAATGTGCTAAAATAAGGCCCATTTGTTAAATGTTTATAGATATAACTATGCTCGTCTTGGGTCCTTCCAAAACATATAAATATTTTGAGGTTATGTCGGTATAATAAAGGTATGAATTTCGTCTTAAAAAAAAACAGTTTGGTTAACTGTTTTATTAAATTTTTTAAGAAAGATGGTGCTAAAGTTGCTTTTTGTAGGGCAGCCTTCATGTTTAAACATTTATCAACATAATGTACCCCTAATTAATCAATTTTTAGTAAATTCACATTTATATCTACATTTTAATGTTGCTTTTTTATTCAGTGGATCTTAATTTACATTAAAACTTCAATGAAACAGGTTTTTAAATTTATCATTAAATTTTTTGCGGAATAAAGTACTCGATTTTTGTAGTGCAGTTATCATATTATACTATTTATCAGTATAATTTGCCCATAAACAACTTGTTTATAATAAATTTAAATATACATCAACCTTTTAAGGTTATGTCAATGTTCTGTGGATATTAATTTAATATCAAACTATTCTCAAGTAAATCGTCTTTAGTCGTTTTAAAGAAATGCAAATATAATAGGTGATGTTGGTGTAGCTTATTAAAGTAAAACTAAAAAATGAGTGTTTCACTACTTTATTTATCAATTTTTGGTAATAAAACTACTTAGTTTCCTGTTTGTATATTCCAAAATACCGTTGGCATGGGCGAAGGCAGCGGGGTGTCAGGGGGTTGTACATGTATAGTTCCTTGTTTTATTTGGTTAATAATATGTATAGATGCAAATGCACTGCTCTGAAAAGAAAATACACCCCTCTGACAATAATTCTGGCGGCGCCCATGACCGTTAGTGTCGTTTATTAAACTGAAACTTTTAAAAATTGTGCATTTTATTTAATATCGTCGATTGTTTTGTGCTCAAAGACATAAATTAACTATGTTTTATGTATTTTGTATCACACGGTATATAGAATGTATAGAGAATCGTCGATTTTATTTCTAAGTTTACAAGTTATTCTTCAGTTTTTCGTCATTTTTTGGCTATGTATTTTACCTAGTCATGTCCAAGTTGAAGTTGTTGCTACACTTTTCAGTCCTGCGTGTATTTTAATATTCTATCCAATCTTTTGACTATTTGTATTAGTTCTGCCAGTGCAACAACCTGTACCAACCTCTCCTAAATGATATTTATGACATGCTTCCTTACTGTGTCGAAAGCTACTCTTAATCAACGAAAATCAGACATTTTTCTGTGAAATAAACAACAAATTTGAAATGAAAGTGTCTTATGGTGTTTAATATGTTTATGGTCTTGTTTGGAAATGTCTATATGGTGCCTCTTTTGTGACTTATAACTTTTGTAGTCTCTTACGAATATTTTTAACAAATTGAAGACATTAAGTTGGAACAGTTGTATTTTTATTTATTTTCAGGTATTTATTTAAAGTAAGTATCGTTTTGTAATAAAAATAAAAACACAAGTCTCTCCTTATTAAACAATCACTGCAGCGTGGTTACTTTTAAAACCTATAGCTCATTTATATAACATTTCATCGCTTTTAATGTTTTTTTCTGATAATTTCATTGATTTCATGATAAGTACCTGCAGTTTTCACGTTTTAAGCGCAAAAAATCGAATAATAGTACGTGTTCGATAATCACTATTATTTTTGAACGCAGACACACCAAATTTCGAACGTGGTGGTCAGTATCCGACCCTCAAAACGGTACTTACTCTAAAAGTATTCCAGTAATATAATTTGTTAAAAATATACTATTCATTAAATAAAACTTTAAATTATTGTTGTCACTAGTTGTTTGTCACGTTGACAGTTGTAGAGATTCGTTTCTTGTTCGAGAACGAGAAACATGTAACGGGAAAATATTCCCGTATTATTTGTATATTTTGTTACGTGTTGAAATACTCGAATCGATCTTCTTAAATTCCTTCTGTGATATACGATTAAAGATCCAATATCTATTTTAATATTCAAAAAAACGTCAGAATCTGTGGATAGTTATGCAAAAATATTCACAATAACTGTGTGCAGAATTACTGCATTGCAAACTATTATATTGCTTCAACTAATAGTTTTCTGTCATAAAGTAGACAGTTTTGACAGGTTGATCAAAATTTCAAGTTGTCAATGTACTGACAGCTGTCAGTAATAGATATTATTATGCTTTAATTTTGATATAAAACAAGCTTTAAACAAAAGACAAAGATATATCAATGCATAAACGACTATATATTGTTAAACTGCATATAACATTTATTGTCTATTATATTTAATGTGAATAATCTACAATTTTAATTGGAAATAAGATTTTCATCTCAGAAATTGTTGTGTGTGGAAATCAAATATAACGTAGGTTTTATCAATTAAAATTGTGGTTTTCTCGGTTTATTCCCAATAATACTATAGAAATGCCATAAAAAAGTAGTGTCAGAAGTTTATTATCTTAGTATAATTATTTAAAATTTTTCTCAAATATTTTTGGAACTATCCACTCACAAAAATTATCAAAACCCGACCAATCGGTTGCTAAAAATGTTATAAATTCGTGAACAATCCAATCTACTGTGGTATTTTCCTGCTTTTTTTTATTATTAAAGATGTTTCGGCTTTTGATGCCTTAGCAATACGTTGTAATTTGTGATTTGTTGTGACTCCGTTTGCAAATGGCAAAAATGGAAGTCAAATTTCGTCGTATAATTAGTGGTTAGTATATACATTTGTCGGGCCCTTTTTTTAAATAAAGATACATTTATTTTAGTATTTTTTTTTCATCTTCACAATAACCTAACCTAATAGGTATAGTATTTATAAAGTCAGTTGAAACATTTCTCTCCGACTCGATTTATAAGGGCAGTTCAATATTACATTTACCGGTAATCAAGTTAAAGTATAAATAACACGCGTCAATGTTTCAAACGTATTTGAACAATCCCCGTACTTCGCAGGAAATAGATGGAAGAAAGAGCGAATGAAAGATACATCCCATCAAATAAATATTGGACATTGATATGTTATTCAAAATCGCCAATATTTAACGCGCCACTTGTAGGTTCGCTTCCAGCGGGCGGCCCGTGTACAGATGAGAAACGCTGTTAATTCATGCCAGTGCTGTACAGCTAAAATGTTTATAATTAAATCATTTTACTGTCAATATGATTCGCCCATGTCTGGTAATAATATGATATTCTTTTAATGTTTGTCGGCAACCAGTTTTTTGTGTGTTTCAACTGACTTTATAAATACTATACTAACATAACTTACAAATTTAGATGAAATTGACGTATAGAGGTCTAACCTTACCAAAATATGGAAAAATAAGGATATAACAAGAGATAGCTAAGAGATTCGAGGAAAGTCTCAAAGCAAGCTGGAAGACTGCACGGATGTTATAGTTGAAGATATTAACAACTATTATTAGAGGCAGTGTAGGGCCATATTGGAAGAAGTGGCAACTGAAGTTATCGGAAAGCAAAAAAAAATTAAGGTCAGACTGGTATGATGAGGAATGCGCACAAGCTACGCAAAGAAAAAAATCAGGCATATAGAAGACAAGGGCGAAGAACGAGACAAACAGAGGAAGAGTATAGGCAGCTGAGACGAGAATAAAAACGAATACTTAAAAAAGAGCATATAGAGAGCCAACTAAAAGAACTAGAGAAATATAAGGCACAAGCAGAAACGCGAAAGTTCTATAAGAGGATTAACCAGAACAGGAAATAATTCAAACCTAGATTAGAAACAGAACAGTGCGCCTTAAAAAAATGTTTTAAACAAGAAATTTAACTGAGACAATTTTGAACAAAAATGTGTATTAAAACTTTTTATGTAGAACGAAGCGTTCCCTCGGAAACGCTTGAAGTGGCCGGTGAGTTTAAATGATGGGTGAAAAACCATAAAGTTCTAAGGCTACTCGAGCTGAAATAAGTTTAATATATTATTAAAACGTTGTATATGCCTACCTTTACTTGCACTCTTGAAGCACAAGCTCTGAGATGCCCCCACCTTGAATACTGTGAAAGAGAAAGTCATAATGTTGTATGTACAGTGTCAATTGCTACAAATAATCTATGCAAAGTGGCCGACGAAGGACTTGAGTGTGTGTCGTAACGTCCAAAAAAAAATTATTTTAAATACATTGAACTGGAAAAAAACTATTAGAATCTTCGTTTAAGCCAACACGAGTTAAGAAATGCTCAACGAGTGACTCGCTTAAAGTCAAAATCGACATAGCTCTAACAGAAGGAGTAAAAACTGATGCTAAGCAAAGACTGGAAATTCACTACAGGCAAGCTGACGGGGCAAGACAACAAATGAGTAAAGATGGCATAGAATCTATGGGAAACAATTCAGATATTCGAATGGTTCGATTTGATCTACATTTTAATGAAAAGATATATCTTCTAACATTAACTCATAACGTTAATCTGGGTATTCATTTAGAAGACGAAAGAAGGGACATCACGTTCCTCTGGAATGAAACTGTTAATCAAAGGGGGTCTAACGAGATAGCTTTTTGCCTGTACTGTTTTTTTTAAGTAGCAAAATAGGATTCACTAAAAGCAAAATACACTATTCACTAAAATTATATTAGCAAAAGCTAATCCTATGGTCAGATACTTTACTTACCTTATCGTGTCCAGATATGTCATTCATAAAATTTCGGCCCATTATCGGGCGACGTCGGTTCCATCTTTGTTGACGAGTCACAAATCTTCTAGGGTACATCGATGAGGACAGTTTCTGCATGTAAGAAGATATTCCATATTCTGGGTTTTTCCACAGTCATAGTTCACATCATCTTGGTCTATTTTTCCCCATTTTGCCATGTTTGATTTTACTGGAGCGGGCCCCGTTCTTATCCTATTTATAGTTTTCCACGTTTTAAAGTCTAGGGACTGGTCGGCCCATTGAGCCTGGGGAAGAGGAAAATACTCAAGCGGTTCATCCTACACTGTTCCAAGCAAGCTTTTCTTATAATTTAGAGCTTAGAGTGGTGTTCGAGCTTTGTATGGGGCATGCCGCTCGTTCTCAATCTGTTTAATTTTCTCTATGTGCTCTGCAACGCCTCTACGTGTTGAAGGTTCTGCAAAACCCGCTGCTTTATATAGATTTGAGAGTGACGTTGGTTTCATGTACCATATTACTATCCTTCATGTCTCATTTAACGCAGTATCAACTTGTTTGGTGTGGGCAGATCTGCCCCAAACGGGGTACGTATATTCAGCAGTTGAGAACCACAGTACCTGTGCCGTTGTTCTTAAAACACTAGGACGTGCACCCCATTTACTTCCCGTTAGCTTTCTGAGTATGCTCTTCCTAGTTGTTACTTTCCCTCTCGTTTTTATGCAATGTTGTCTGTAGGTGAGAGACTGGTCCAGAGTTACTCCAAGATATATAGGTTGGTTAGTGTGTTCTAATGTATTACCGTTCCACGCAATTTTGAGTTTTCGCTTGGCTTCCTTTGTGCGAAGGTGGAAAGCGCAGACTTGGGCCTCAGGGAATTCTGCAGGTAGCACGCTGTCATTGTTTTTAAGGCAATTTCAATTTTCTCCTCCACTTCTTCAAAACTATTTCCTTGAGCACATATTGCAAGATCGTCAGTACAGAGGAAGTACTTGGTTTCGATTGGCGTAGGTTGGTCGTTTGTGTATATATTGAAGAGCATTGGTGCTAAAACACTTACCTGTGGGAGGACGTTTTTTTGAACTCTCCACCTACTTACTTTACCCTCCAGCATAACGAAAAAACGTCTGTTTTGCAGTAAGGAATATACAACCTTACCCAGATGGTGGTCATTGAGAGTGTCGTATAATTTGCGGAGCAATGTTTTGTGCCTTACTGTGTTATAGGCTGCTTTCAAATCTACGAAAGCAGCTCCTGTTATAAGTTTTGCTTTAAATCTCTCTTCAATGTGTTCTGTTAGTGCGAGGACTTAACCAGTGCAAGATTTGCCGGGTCCGAATCCTCCTTGTTGTGGGATGAGGTGCTTATCGACATTTTTTTCTATTCTGACGAGTATGAGTCTCTCGTATAGTTTGAAAAAGTGACACAACAGCGAAATAGATCTGTAGCTACTGGGATTTTCTGGGTCCTTTCCTGGTTTTAACAAGGCTATTACTTTAGATTTCATTAATGATTTTGGAATTTCGCAGGCTTTGCAGCACGTGTTATAAAGTTGAAAGATCCAGTTTTTTGCTCCTTGGCCTAGATGCTTTATTTTTTCACTGCATATATCATCCACACCTGCAGCTTTTCCGTTTTTTAACCTGTTCATGCCGTCGCTTTTAGTGTAAAAGGAGTTTCTAGGTGGTTTGTTTCCGAATCCAATTTTCTTTTAGTGTTTAGGTTCTTATATCGGTTCGTAGTTCTTCCATTAATAAGGAGTTGAACAGCGACTTGTTTTGCTATAACCTTGCAAGGTGGTTTGTTTTCTTTTGGATTACCGCCATGTTTTTTTACAAGGTTCCATGCTATTTTGCTACTATGTGTCATGTCCATTTTTTCCATGGTCCCAATCCACTTTTCCTGCCTGGCTTGACTTAGCTGTTGAAGTAGTACTACTCCGCAGTCAACCGTTTCTTGACTAAAAGGGTCAGTGGAATAGAGGGTTTCGTATGTTCTCATTAGTTCTTTGGACTCGCTGAACATTCCGGGAACATATTGGTGTCTACATCCTCTGGGTATAGCTTTTCTAGGCACATTTTTGTGTACCTCTACAAATTTTTCGCAGTTCTCTACTTTTTGTTCAAGACGTAGCAGCTCAGAATCTGCTTGCCTTTTTGAAGTTATATCCCCTTCTGAATTGAATAACTTGTGGTCTGACAATTGGAAAAATATTTATACCACTTGGTCTATGCTTAGTTTTTGGTATGGGGCCATATACTTCTTTGGTACATCGGTCTTCGAGGTTATTACTTGTAAAACAGATACTTGGGTTATATCCTCTTTTTCAAACTTTGCTCTGAAAAGATGGTGGAAGTTTAGGATCATGGATTAACGTGAAGCCACTCGTTTCGGTCTATGCTTCTACTGCATCTCCATTTGCGTCCGAATCTGCATAGTTCCAGAGATTGTCCCAGACATAGTCCCTGTGACTGTTAAAGTCTCCCAGTACAAGCTGATTGGGTTGTGATTGGAAGTTAGTTGGGGGTGAAAATATGAAAGACTGGTTTTGGGGCTTGTATACCGACGTTATTGTGCATTTTCCGATTTCAGTGGCTATTATCTCTATACCGTCTATATTTGTTGTTTCCACAGATAAGACTATGGTTTGAGTTCTCACAAATGCCGCGATCCCATGCTTATTGTGTGGTATTTCCCAAATCAGTTCCATACCGGAGACTTTCGGTCTCGCTGCAGTTAGGTATCTGTGGGTATCTCACATTTCGTGTTCTTGCAGAATTCTGATAAGATGTCTATCTTTCGATAATATTGTTTTGCTGTTGTGATGACTTCAATATTTATGCTCGCTACTGTCAGTGTTGGCTCTGAGAAGAACCGTTGTGGCTTGATGTTTGCTATCTGTTTTGGTTTGGTCCAAGATGGTTATGGTCAGATCTGTGGTGGCCAAAGTAAAAACCAGGCTATACTTATTATGTATCTCGTTTTGATTGCAAATGGCGTCTTTTCAGAAAATACTCATACGTTTCCTGGAAAAGGACACCTTTCTCGCATTTGATTACGATTTTGCCATTATCGAGAAAGCAAAAAAGCATGTTATGTTACTTGTACCAAAAGACCTTACTGAAATTATTTCT